CAATATAGAGTAGGCTCTAAAAATAATGTTCGTTAAAATGTAAGTGTTAAATTATTTTGACATATCATCTGACATAATGATAAATTTAAATTTGACTTTGTGAAAGAGATTTAATATTTTTATGTAAATGAATGAAACTACACAAAATGAGTTTATATTTTGCTTGTTTTTATATTTTTATTATTTTAGACATAATTATATTTTTATCTGATCTGATATTGTCAACTTTTGATCATAGAAGATTTTGGGGGCTTTTATCAATAAGGAGTTGTAAGATTCTTACCCAAGTAGTTGAATGCCTGGTTCAAAAGATGTTACATGTTTACTTCTCCAAGGGACTACAAAGGTAGTCACGATAACTTTGGATCTTTTTCCTGTGAACTTCATAGATAGAAATGTTGTAAAATATTGAGCTCTATGAAGTCAAGTGCTTCGGTCTACATGTGCCCCAGAGTTGTCTTTAAAAATTATCAGGGGTAACATTTTCTCCTTACTTTAACTCAGATACTGATTTTTTTTTCCCTTGGGTTTATTCTCTTATTTTTCTAATTTCTTAAATTGGATATGTATTAATTTTCAGCCTTTTTGCTTACAAAAACAGAACAATAAACCTATCATTAAAACACTAATATTTTGATTATTGATTTTCATAAGTAACTAAAGGAAACATATACCAAAATACAGTATATACAGATTCACACATCTCTGTTGCATGATACATTCATAATCTGTAGCTCTTTTGGAGGTTGTTACTACTATGTAAAATGATATTTTGGACTTCACCTGTTCAGTAGCTTTAGTAACAATGATTTTCAGGGGACAGTTATGAACGGTAGTACTCTTGAAAACTAAATTCTTCCATCAGTTACAATTTTAGGTAAATGATTTACATTTTTTCATTTTCTCTTTCTTACATGTTTGGGTAATGTTTTTGATGTCACCGTTCTTCACAACAGTAGAATCAGAAATAATTTCAAAGCTTTTGAAAAAAATCTAAAATGTAAATGCTTGTTAGGAACATGGATTATATCTAAAATAGAATTTATATATTAACTTGTCGATGTTTGGAAGCTTAAGACTTTTGCTAAACTTGACTAGCATTATTTATTGATCCGACAACTAAAATTGCTTTATTAGCAGTATAGTTTTTAAAAAATGAGGTAATTTTAATTTATTTTGCTCACTTATAATCAATTATGATTTTAGGGTCCACTTTGAAGTTACAGTTTTTAAATTTAAACTTTCTAATTAAAATTTATATTCAAAAAAGTTCATAAAATTTTAAAGTATTTTACTATTTCAAGTGTTAGGGTCTTTTGCTTAGTTGAGTAAAAATTATTTTTAAATTCTTCTGAATGGGGAAAATTTACTAGAAGTGAATCTAGTTTTATGAGCCATAGTCTAAAAATTGTTTGTATTAAATGGAAGTACTTGTTTATATGATCCCTAGATGATTTATTCCTTAAACTATGAAGTAATGCTTTTCATGCTGACATGCTGATAGTGAGCACTCTGATTTCATGCCAATATAGCTCCAGCTTACTGAATTTTAGTCTGGCTTTTGATAGAGTGGGAAGTTGGAGTGAGAGATTTAAGTACTGAACTTAAGAGCAGTTAATCATTTTTCCCACTGTGGTATTGATATAGTGAGAGCAAAGGTAATGGAGACCCAGCAGGCCACTTGTTACTGTTGACTTAAGTGCAAACAGTGGTGGAAGTGTTTAGCTTTTTGAGAAATTTTACCATTGAACAAGAATGCTGCAATTATTTTCATAAGAAAGGTAGTGGTGTATCCAAAATTGTGAGCATCCCAGACCTCTGAGGCAGGCCAGTGATAAAGGGCTTAACTGTTTGCTCTTCTAGATGAACACAGATAAATTCACCTAGAAAAATAAATGCAATATTTTGGTCCATTTGCAACAAAATGGTGAAAGGTTTGAACTGTTTTAGAACTTGGTGTAAGGAGAGGTGGGAAAATAGTTCAGCATCTCCTTTTCTGGCCCGATTTTCACTATAGATTTGGAAACAGAGCAAAAAATTAATGCACAAACATTTTTAACAACACTATGCCAAGTGTTATAAATCCAGAATGAAAACTCAAAATTAATGAGGAAGTAGAGCAAAACTGTCTCCAGAGTACATACTCAACTTGAAGCAGTAGTTTTCTTAGCATTTTTATTAAGTATACTCAGTAGTACTAAAAATCAAGGTCTTGTGATTTGAGATACTATTTTCTATGCACTTTTCAATTCTTGGGTGATCATGTTCTAACGACCCGAGGAGGGTTTAACTTACATATGCTTCTTCTTTAAGAACCTGTAACTAAACAGGCATACTGAGCACATTAATGTCTTTTATTTAATTTGGCTTTGTAGAAAGCATCATCTCCTGGAATTAGTTTTGCCTTTCATTAGATGTTATGTTAGCCAACAAAAACTTTTTTAAAAACTTTTCATTCTAAAAAAATTCATTCATAGCAGATTTGGGACTTGCTTTAGAGAAAGTATGTATTTAAAAATCTCACAAACAGTGAGCTATTTGCTTATTGTTTGTAGAACAGCATGACTGACTATATTATTTTCAACTTAGGTTTGACTCTGTAAGTTTCTATCATTAAATCCTTGACTATAATCTTTCTATGGTTGGTGCCTTGCTCTTCCTAAATGCCAGTATCAGTCTGTAAGTCTTTCTCATTTGGCCTTGTTACTTTCTGGGGTTTCAGGAACACTGAACTTCTTTTCTAATTTAGTGATGTTGTGAGCATTGAGTGATGAAGTAAAATCTTCACACAAGGATTCGCATGTATCCTTCTCAGAATGGTGTTTGTGTGGTAATGATGACAGAGTTCTGCGGGATTTTTGTATGGGGTTTTATTTAGCTTTTTTACTAGTAGGTGTCAGGATAATGACTTAAGAGGTCAGGCTTCTGCTCTCACAAACTATCCATAGAAAGTAACATACGGACTAATTGCATACTGACCATCTTATGTTAGTGTCTTGAAAATGTTAAGTAATGTTTTATTCTGGCTCTTGACTACTGGTCATGAATGCTTAGCATTTTTAATGAGTATTTTGTTTGAGTATTCAAGGCAGCAATGAATTATTAAAGACTGAGGATGTATGGTAAATGAAAATTTGTCTGAAATTAGAAATAAGACAATTGAAAAATGCTGAATAATATGATTATACAATTGCTTTAGGATTGCTTCAGCTAAGTAGTGATAATGATACCTACTACTCATAGTGTTTGCTATATGTAAACACTTAATTCACATTGATATTCTTAATTGCCCTTAACACTAGGAGAGAAATGTTGTAAAAACCATTTTACAGGGCTGGAGATATAGTTCAGTTGCATAGTGTCTGGCTGGCAAATGCAAGGTCCTGAGTTCAACTGCGGGTACTAAAAAACAAAAAGCATTTTACAAAGGAGATATTAGACTCTTAAACAATTTGCCTGAAATAATATCTAAAGTACTTAACAGCATACAAAGCTAAAATTAAGTATATATAACTTATATTTAATATGATTTGATAACTTCTACCCCATGTACACACACCCCTCTTTTAAACAAATAAGTTCATTATATTATATGTGATCAGTTTCCAGAATGTGTGGACTTATGGTCTGCTTCTAGAATGTTCCCCAAGGATTCATGTTTTACAGACTTGGTTCTCAAGGAGGTGGGGTTCAAAGATGGCACTTTTGGGTAGTAATTGGATTATGAGAACTCTTAACTCATCTATGGATTTATTCATTGATTCATAATTTGATGGCAGAATTGGGAGGTGGTAGAGCTATTCTGAGGTGGGACCTAGTTCACAGAAGTAGGCAGCTGAGTGCATGCCACTCCTCTAGCCCCTTGGCTGCCAGAAGAGGAGCAGCTTTTCCCACATCCTGCTTGATGCACTGCCTTATCGTAGGCTCAGAAACATCAGAGCCATGTGAATGTGAACTGAAACCCCTGAGATTGTGAGTTAAAATTAATTTTTCCTCTTTTAAGTTGCTTACCTTAGGTATTTTCGCACAGGATGGAAAACTAGCAAAAGCTCTTAAATTTGTGTGTGAGTTTTAAGTAGACATGAGAATTTAGGATTTTAAACCTCGAATTTAGTAGCTGATCTTAGAAGAAGCAACTACATCAGTGAATGATCACTATCTTTAGTACCATCTTCCTGCGTTTGAGACTATAGGTTTTCAACTCTAGGTTAACTTCAAATAAAGGGGCTTCATTTACTGTTGGCCAATAAAAGCGACTGAGAATACCAAAAGAAACTTTAAACCTTTAACAAAAATGTGTTAGTACCAAATGAAGGACCTTATACATCTAAAGTTCAGTCTAAATTTGTTAAATGAATAACGCTTTATTCCTCTAAGTTTTATAAAAAAAATATGAAAAACCATTTTAAAAGCTCTTGTTAAATCTACTAAATTTTAATGTCTTGTCTCGTATTGAAAAATGTAAGACATGAAGGTTATTTGGTTGTTTCTTAAACTGCCGATCACTTTTCTATGGTTATCCTAGATTGATTTTGCCAGAGGTAGACCAGTTTTTCTACATAGTGCTATTATCAGACTTTAAGCTTAGTGAAGCATAGAATTTCTGTAGCAACGCAGCTCCACTGAGTAGTAGGCATGAGTAGTAGTACGTAAATAAATGCTTATGGCCATGATTTAATAAAAGTTTATTCTTTCAAACATTTGGATTTGGCTCTTGGCTGTAGTTTCCAGATCCTTGCGCTATGACAACATTATTATTGACATGAACTTGCTCCGAATTTTACATATTTGCAGAGAAAACTAGAATATCATGCATAGATATTGTAACTATATAAATCTTTTGAGTACTAGTATGTTTATATGTTAAGCATTATATAGTAATATTAGCTTTCATATCACTATGAGGATATATGATGTGGAAAAGTTAAAATAGTGATATGAAATGATAAATTTTCATTATGTTTAAGTTGTTTTTTGTTTTTTGTTTTTCCTTACCCTAGGGAGATTCTATACAAGCAGGTGATGAGTCACCATTTTCAGATTCTGTAACCTTGGAACAAACTACTAGTAACATTGGTGGATCCAGTGGACGTGTTAGTCTCTGGATGCAGTGGGTACTCCCCAAAATTACGATAAAGCTTTTTGCTCCAGACCTTGAAAATAAAGGCACAGGTATAAGATAATCTTTCCTCTCTACTGTAAAGATGGAATATTAAGCACTAGAAAAAATATTAGACTTAATTTTGCTGTTTCAATAATTAACTATATCATTTTATTAGTGTTTGTTATCCATAACATTACTAATAAAAATAAGTTAAAATTTTAAAAAACTAACAAAAAATAAATATGATTAGTGTAAATTCAAGTGATTTTTATTAACCCTTACATATTGAATCTTATCAATAGGTAACATTTATACATACATATTGACTTTGACTTATAATTAAATTTTGCCTATGAATATTACAATTCATCTCCAGTTGGTATTAAAATTCATAGCTCAGTGGTATAATCACCTGCGTGGCACATGCAAGGTTTGATTGCCAGTAACGCAAAAAAAAAAAAAAAAATCATCTTCAAGGCTATGAGAAAAATTCCTATTGGTCAAATTGATGCGTTATATCATTATCACTAATAACATTGCAAAGATCTCTGACTGATACCAGATTTAGCTCCTTAAATATTAACTGAAATTTTTTCTTATCTTTTTTTTTTTTTTTTTGTCTTTTTCCTTTTCATCGGTACCATGGATCAAACTCACGACTGCCTGCTTGCAAGGCAGGCACTTATGCTGCTGAGCTAAATCCCCAGCCCCAATTTTTTATATTTTTAAATATATGTCTTATCTTAATTGTAAAGCCTGTGTTTTACTTATGATTCATAGGTAAATTTTTAAATTGTTATGCCTCTGTAGATATCCAGGATGTATATGCCAATGTGAATCTTTTATTGATTATTTGGTAGTATACCAATAATAATGTTTGCTTCTTCTTGCAGAAGTTTGTATGATCAGTGAACTAGAAGATCTCAGTGCTTCTGTAGATGTGCAGGATGTATATACCAAAGTGAAATGTAAAATAGAGAGTTTCAATATTGATCATTATAGAATCAGGTAAATAATGAATCACTAATATAGGAAAAGCTATGTTGTCTTTGAACCAAGTCACTAGAGGTTTTCTATTTTAATTTACCTACTTATTTTTTAAAATTGCTATACTTGTTCCCAAAGAGTATTCTTAACTATGAGATATATGGGTAAATTTTACTTAGTCTTCTTGCATTTTTAGGGTATGTTTTATAAAATAGCAAATCTCTACATAAATATTCACATTGCCATATTAAATGAAAGAAGTTGCTTTACTAATCATCTCACACATTTTATTATGCATGTCGTATAATTTGCTCAGATACCTGGAATGCAGTTGATGGATCTGGTTTTTGCTGTGTGTTTTTTCATTCTCTGTATAATTCCCCTTAAGATGGAGCAACTGCTCATGTTTGTTAGAACTTTGAAAATGGTATCAGAGATCATTCATATACATGTGGTAGATATTCCTAGAACCACATTATTCCTTTTGTAATTAATTTACATCTCAAGTAAGATTACATGTAATTATGATTTGTTTGTGATAATAAATACTGATAGTAGAAAATTTACATCTTAGATTTTTTTAACAAAAGTCTAAAGCAGTTTTGTCATTAATGTTTCCCAAATAAAAACTATTTTTTGCCTTTCTAACCTGGTATTTTAGTTTTAATTGAAACAACTTGCATATTATAAAACTCACAAATGCTTCTTAACAATGTTTTAAATAGCATCGTATTTCCATTTTCAAAGTTTTTTGATTCAGACATAGCCTTAAGTCCATTTCTTTCTGGATTCATAATGTTTATTCATTCAATACTTTTTTATTATGTGCTTGAAAAAGCACTTATGTGCTTCTGTACATATATTAATACAGTATGTGTTGTAAAAGCAGCCTTTTTATTTGAAAAGTTTCTAGCCAGGTATGGTGGTACACATCTGTAATCTCAGCACTTGGGAGGCTGAGGCAGGAGGATAGATATCAATTCAAGGCTGCCAGGGTTACACAGCAAGATCTTCTCTCAAAAAAACCCAAATTTCTAATTCTACCTTAAAAACACATTAATTTTTATATTAGCATAAAAAATGCTAGCATGCTGCTTATGTCAGTAATCACCAAATATGTCACAGATACAAAATTGTGTCATAATTGTGAAATGTAAATATAACTCTGGAAATACATTAGAACCTATCATATCTTACTAATCATCTAGTTTTTTATTGACAGTAAATCATTTCTTTGCTTTTGGTGTTTAGATCTTTAGTTCCTTTCCAATGATACATATATTTCTAACTCAAAATGATCTTTTCAAGTGATATATCAATATAATTTTAGAATTGAAGTAATTTATTGATGATACAAATATTGTATGTTGATGTTTATCCCTGACTTTATTATTAAATTTATATAGATGTTAAATTTAGATCATTCATTCAGATAATCTAAACATTTATTAAAACTGTATTATATGGCAAGCTCTATGCTAAGCCCTAAGTCTATCATGTTTAATAAAATAGACTTAGATTCTACTCTTATGGCTATTATAATCTTACAGATGACATTGAAACTAATAACTGAGGACATAAATGTACCATTTGCTGTAAGACAGGTGGGGCTTTGCATAATTATCAGAGTATATTGCTATTAAGATGGTTCTGTTGAATACATTGTTATAATCCATGTTTTGGCACAGAAAAGTGTTGTTTACTTTAGAACTATTGAAATAGTTATATATGCTCAACTTTTTAATTGAGAAAAATTGAAGAGAACAGATAAGGTAAACTTATGTTTTCCAGGCCAGGGGAAGGTTGGCAGTCAGGACATTTTGAAGGAATATTTCTACAGTGCAAAGAAAAACCTGTGGTGAGACTCATTTAGTAATTACAATTTTTGAAGATATATTTCAAATTGTTTATCTTCGTTCTTTTGTGCATAAGGACTAAAGGTTACAAGAATTAGAGCTCAAAATATTTTTTACCTCTTTCTTCCTCTCAAAATTACATTATAAATTTAAAACTTTATTCTTTTAATCTGCTCATGTTTTGTAACCATCTTCCTTTTCAACAGTTAAGTGAATTTATTTTTTAAAAAAGTAGGATGCTTTTATTATACTTTATTGAACTATTATGTTGACTTTTTGAAACACTTTTCCTTTCTAAGTGAGTTCATGGTGTATTGTCGTTTACCATAATAAACATGGTAATTATATACTAAAAGCAGTTATTTTGTGTACATGCACAGAAGATGGTGCAGACAGAGGCTATACCTAGCAATGGCTAAAGTTTAACCTGTGCAAACTTGAGCAGAATAAAAATCTACCCCCCCCTTTTTTTTGGTTTCTTTTTTGGTGGTTTTTGTTTTTGTTTTTGCTTATGGCTTTTATTGCTTTTTGTCTTTTCACCTTCTTTGCTCCTGTCCATCACTTCAAGCCTTGGGGAAGAGTGTTGGTCTTTGGGGCAATGTGGAGGTGTCTTCCTTTCCTGTACTGACAAGCTGAACAGACGCACCTTGTTGGTTCGACCCATCAGCAAGCAGGACCCTTTCAGTAATTGTTCTGGCTTCTTTCCCTCTGTAAGAGTTAATTTTTAAATTATGCTACAGAATTCCCCTTAACAAGAGCCCAGAGAAAGAATTGAATTATCCATAGAGTCAACTCTTGATTTTAATTTTGTTTTGTATGGTTCATTTTGTAAATTAATTGTAATGTACTTTTAAATCATGGATTGGTTTTTCAGTATATGTAATCTGCACATGCTGCTGTTGTCCTGGATTTATAAATACAAACTAATCTTACCATTGCTATAAGAAAATCATAATAAGATGTTAAATATAATACTCTTGTTTTAACTGTTCATATACCAAATGATCAAGAGTTGACCAGTAGTGTTTTTGTCATTGCTTTTGTGATTCTTGGTGAAACTGCTTTTTTCTTTTTATGCCCCCCCCCATGCCTTTTGTTTTCTTCTTACAACTAATTCAAGGTACATTATTTGGTACTCTCTTAAACCTGGACAAGTGTATACTTCTGTCATTGAATGGTCAGAAGATGAGTATAGTGCTTTAGGCTAGTGTGTTAGATGTTCAAAACTCCATTTTCTAATGGTATAATGCATATGAATCTTAAGCTAATTTAAGTGATATTTTCATTAAGCAAAACTGCATGATTTATTAAATATTTAGAGCAGGTATCATTCTTTTAAGAATTTATTCTTATCATTGCATGTATAAACTGTTTATTCCTTTTCCTTTTTTTAGTTCAAGAAAGATTTAAGATGCATTCTTAACATTATAAAAATTTTAAATGATTTTATCTTTTTATCTAATGTTTAATAGCATATTTTTGTAATTGAAATAGTGTTTTCTGATTTGATTTGAACTTTTTGTAATATTCTTTCCTTCATAATGAAAAAATATCTCTGAAATGTGGCTTTTATATCTTTAGAAGATCTGTTTAGATTTATTTTACTCATTTTGAATGCTCACTATCTGTGGAAGACATTCTTAATTTTAAAACTTTTCAAAATTTATTTTTAACTCCTTTCAAAATGTTGTATTTTTTAAATGTTTAAAATTAGTTGTTTTCTATTAACATTCTTTGTCAATATATTCCACTTCTCCCTTTAAGTGGTATTAAAGAGTAAAACTCTATAAAGAGTAAAACTCATTTTCGGTTCAGTTCGCTATATTTTTCTGTTTTAGTAAGGGAGCTGGAGGTACAAGAACGTGATAAATGAAATCTTTTCTCTCAGGTAGCTTACTTTTCAAGAAGGCTTATGCTGAATATATTTAAAATGCTTTTTCAAACCAAAATATCCATACAATTAAATGTCCTTTATACTATTTCCAGGAATCAAGTGTTGCTATTAATAGATATTAATTACAGTTGGATTTTTTAGATTAGTGGTGAGAGTATGCATCTCCCTAATGTGCAGTTTAGACACCTGGAAAAATTATCATTGCTTTATTCTCCTTCCCACTAGGCTGTACCATAGCTGCTCTTTTTTTCATTGTTGCCTGCTGGCCAGCAACATGTAAATCACACTGGTAGCATTTCTTCTTCCTTCATGGTGCTGCTTGTTTTTTCTTTTTCTTTGAGTGTAAAAAGCAAACAGAAAGGGAAAACAAAATAGACAAAATGAGAAAATTAGTAACAATAAAAATATATTTTGAGGGTAGATTATTGTGGGACTGATGATTGTATTTCACAACTGAGTGATTAGTTTCAAAGATTTTTTTAATGATCACATTACTAAGTTGAAAAAAGAGCATTTACAAAGGTGAAGTGTTTTAACTTCACTTTATTGTAAAATCTAGATAGAAGCAAAATTAGTAGTATTAGCTGAACTGAATAGTCCTTTGCTTACCGTGTCATTTGGTTAAAGGCATCTACAAAAGAAGGAAGCAGAAAGAAAAGAGGTTTAAAAGCAATAGGATAACATAAATTCAGAAACAGCTTAGATTTATTGCTTTTTACTGTTTATTTAACTATATTCCCTTCCTTTTCTTCTTTCCTAGTTCAAGTTCCCTTTTAGCTTCACTCCTTGCACCATAGTAACAAAAACTTTCAGGTATGGGGAAGAGGAATTGGGACTGTGTAGTCTGATTCTTATGTTAAATAATTTGCAGAACAGGAATCTATGCAACAATAATTGATTCAGAAACAAATTTGATAATTTCTAGTTTGCATATCAGTCATTTGAACAGTTTATAGAAGCAGTCCTCTATTTATTAAGAAGTATTAGACTGAGTAACACAAAAAGATCAAAATGCTGAAGTCATTTTCTTTCAAATATCATTTTCTTTTTCTAATGAAATATGTATCATGATTTCCTTTTTGTGGAACAGGCAACTACAAAACTTCTAGATGGCTCTCATCAGCAGCATGGATTTCTCTCTCTGACATATACAAAAGCTGTAACCAAAAATGTCCGCCACAAGTTAACATCAAGAAATGAACGAAGAAGTTTTCATAAGTTATCTGAAGGTTTAATGGATGGTTCCCCTCATTTTCTTCATGAAATTCTTCTTTCAGCACAAGCCTTTGATATTGTCCTTTATTTTCCTTTACTTAATGCCATTGCAAGTATATTTCAAACAAAACTACCAAGACAAAAAGAGAAAAGAAAATCTCCAGGTCAGCCTACAAGAACCCATACACTGACTTCACGCAATTTACCCTTGATTTATATCAACACAAGTGTAATCAGAATTTTTGTACCAAAAACAGAAGAAATGCAGCCAGCTGTTGAAGGTATTGTCTTCTAATTTTTTGGTTTACTACTAAATAATTTTTTTATTTAAACCTTCATTTTCTGGGTGTTAGTGTGATTATGAGCAGCTGATTGTATTTTGCAGTTCAGTGTGTTTTAGTAATATGTTATAATCAATTTCTAATTTAATGTTTAGTAGTTATACTAGAATTTTGGTAAGTACCTGACTCCATTAATAAATACAGTGCAAAATATGACATTTTTCTTCTTCAGTGTTTTTACCTGTTAAGCTTATACTGTCTGTCATTCCTTTTATGGAACTCAAATGTTTTGAGATATGCAGCCAGACAGACAGAGACACATATAATACTAAAATTTTCTTTGAAAATAATATTTATAGTGATAAAAAATTATATAAAAATTCTGTAATTGAAATATCTACCTGATGACTCAGTGTGGAAAAAAAAATTGTCAATTCATTGAGGTCCCTGTAACTTTTTCCAGGCTTCTCAATGCCTTCTGAAATTATTATTCTATATTTTGAAATGAATTAAATTTGTAATGCCTCTGCATCTGCCCACAAGAGTGCTTTAACACATTTTCATTTCCCCTATGCTATAAAAATATGAAAAATTTAGGATTTTGAGACTAGCCAATTTGAATATATTAGGCTCATTGAGTCTTAATACTTAGCAGCTCCTGCTTTTATGTCTAATTCTTTTGCTATGAATACAATGGATTATTTTAAGATGTATAATTACTTTTCTTTGAATATGAAGTTCTGACTATACTCTATAGTTGCTTTCATCTGTTCATGTCGTTTTGGGAAACATATGAATGGTAAATAATAAGGAGTCCATACTAAACAATTACAAGTGATTTAGGAGATGACCTACTAATCAGAAAAGCGAAAGCTGGATATTTTTCATAGAAATAATGAACTATTATTTTTCTATTATCTTTCATTATTAAATATGTAATGAATTTTTATTTAATGAAATATACTTTAAATTTATAGAGAATTTAACATGTTCACAATAGTGCTATAATTCATAGTCTCACTGCTAGGCAGCTTGAACTACCAGTGCTATGTTTGTAACTGTCCCAGTGGATGGCTTATACCATTGATGATACAAACATATATAATCACTTTTATCGATCTTTTTGGAAATAAAATGAATTAAAAGCAGCCATGTTAAAAAAGAAACTTACATTTTTATACAAGATAATTCTCTAAGGATCGTAGCTGACAAGGCAAAATGACATTTTCTCAAACTATAGAAGAGACATGGACGTAAAAATTTACTGAAAGTAATCGTCCTTTTATTTTTATAACTGAAAAGGGGAGGAACCAACAGACTTAGCCTGGCATCTATATTGCAAATACCTTTACTTGTTTTGTCCTGTGCATGAAAATGTGTGAGTATATCTTTATATTTACACCTCTCTCTATACCTGAAGTGTTTTAAATTGTCATGTATCCATCTTGAAAATACAGGTGTGAAAATCAAATGCAAAAATGTAGGCCAAACCTTTAAAGATTTTGGTACATTATTTTGCTAGTTTCTGACACTTTATCTCTTTCCATTGTTACTTTAATTTCAGATTATCATAATTCACTCATGAAAATGGAAATTTTTTTCATTGAGATAAAATTCATCTGACATAAAATTCACCATTGTAACCATTTTAACGTATAGATAAATCTTAAAGTATTTTATGATGGATGATTAGTTATTTCTATTTGATGTGTGTTAAAAAGCTATGATGTAATAAAGGAAATCATGATATAAATGGCAATTACATTCAAATGATTTTTTTTTTTTTTTGAGACAGGATCTTGTTATGTAGTGCAGGCTGGCCTTGAACTCGCTTATATAGCCCAGGCTGGCCTCAATTTCACAATGATCCTCCTGCCTCAGCCTTCCAAGTGGTGGGATTATAGGCACTCACTACTACTCTTGGCTAAATATTGTTATTTAAATAACAGTAAGAGTTGAGAACTTTTTATTCTTGATAAGCTGCAAGAGTAATATTGTTTGAATTATATTTTATGAGATTATATTCTAAGTTGCCTTAATGAATGTGATATTGTGTTGGTATATCATGCTTCTCTGTAGAAACTGTATTACAAAAATTGACAGAACAACTGTGTTTATAACAGTGAGTACCCATTTTAAAGATAATTCATAAATTTAATTTATCTAGTTTTTCTGATCTTATACATCTATCACACTTTCTGTCTTCAATTGGAACATGGCAATAACTGAAAGCTTTTGCTGATGTCTGTCATAATAATTGTTGCTTTATAAAAATGTAACACAGTGGAAATATCAAATACTCTTGAGACTTTGTTTTATTGTATTGAGAATCTTAAAAGAAAGTTAAAATATTGAAAACATTTATTTCATATATGACAGTTTAAAAAATCCAAGTAACAGTATTAAATTATCTGATAATTACATGAAAACTCTGTGCTTATTTGAATTTTTAGTAACGGATGCAAGCCCCTAATTTCAAAATCATTTTTATAACATTTCACTTGCCATGCATACATAAACATTCATGCATCTGCACATACACCCATACACACTCTCTTTTTGACCTCCATAGGATACAATATTCAGCTTACCTTTATTTTACATTAATGCAAATTTTAAAATCACATCTAAAATTTAGCTAATGATAAAATATATTTAATATTTTGGTATTTAGAAGAGTGATACTGAAAGTCTTGTTTTCAACACAAATGTTGTTTCTACTTGTATTGTCAAGATTTCTAAATCTACAGGTGTTTCACTTCCATTTTAAGCTTTTTATTTCAGAATAGATGACTATTTTTTAATCCTAGTATGAATCTTCTGGGATGATTAGTTTCTCTTGAGGCTCAGCTTTTAAAAATACAGTTAAAGCCAAAAAAGGAAGATATTCATTTTCATGCTTAAAGTGCTATATGAGGGAATATTCCCTCATATGACTCAAAAAAATGGAGGTGAAATAAATGCAGAACAAGAAGTTTGTTTCTTTTTGCAGCTATAAAGTAACTAAGAAATGATTTGATACTTTATTAAATAAATATGCTTTTTAAATTTTTTGCTTAGGTTATCAGTGAAACATTTTGACAGGCTGTATACTTTCTATAATAAATTAATTTTTCTAATCTAGTTTATGAATGGAATCATGTGTGTATGTGTGTGTGTGTATATATATATATGTTTTACTATAACTTCGTAGTATAATCTACTGAGAACACTTTTGGCTATAATAGAAACAAAATTCTGTTTGTGGATCTGGCTTTGTGTGTAATTCCAAGTAATGTCATTTTTCTTCCATATGTACTTCATTTGCTGCAGTGTTTCAGTTACAGTTCAGACTTTCATGTGGTGAGTAGTATCTGTAGCCTGAAAGAACAGTTAGCAAGTACACTAATTGCACTTTTGTGGCATGGTCTGTTCTTCAAGCTTACTATTTATTGATTTAGTTTTGCCTGCTGCTTAATCAGAGGTTTCACCCACATGGAACTATTTGATAAGCTTGGCATAAAATGCAAGATCTGTAAAATGTAAACAATGTTCATAGTATAAGGACCTATAATCAAGCCAGTCTTGTAGCCGTTTGAAAATAGTGCAGCTGCCTGAGAAGTACTTTTCTGTTTGATCTTTTTTCCCCTTATGAACATTTGAAAGTATTGTCTTTACTGTGGCATCCACATGCTAGTATTTATTATGTTGGTTCATTTCTTTTTTCTACTCCTCTTTTCTTTCCTCCTCCTTCTACTACTTTAGCTTTCTCCGTTCCCTTTGTTATCATCTTACATTGGTTCTTTCTTTCCCTCACCTGAGTATCCTTCTTATTCCTTTTTCTGATTTTCCTAATTCCAACTTTCCTTTTTTGAACTAATCTAAGTCAGACCATGCCAAGTGTATTGCCTAAACAGCTGGAAATAATCTTCTAGCTCTTGCATTCTTTGGGCACCACTGTTTGGGAAATATGGGTTGTATGCCTTTGTAGGCATGTTCTGTTCAGGATATTCTTGAGGTCTTGCAGCCAGTTATTTTCGTTTCTATTTGTGGCACATGATAGCTCCTTGGACAAATTATAAGTTTTATTATGTTTACTTGAATGTCATATATTATTTAGAAATCTTAAACAATTTTAAACATTTCATCTACTATAGTAGAATTATGTGTTGGAAAACAAAGAGTAAAAAATATCCCTACCATCGCAAATAGTCCATAGAAAAGACACTTAATTGGCCAGTCAGTTATCAAACAGTGTTGAACTTCTTAGATGAGAACATATTATTATATGTATGTATCCTTTTTTCTTTCTGAAATTACTTACATATGATTTACATTACTTGTAGACTTCATAAACAGTAACATTAAGGTTACTGTTTCTCAAGCAGTTTCACAGTAGAAAAGTAGAATTTATTAAAAGTATTTAAAAAAGCAAGTTGAGATCGTTTCTCATATTAAATATTTGCAGCTTTAACATTGCAGCCATCATATTTCTTTGGCATTTCTATCGCTGTGAAAATAAAAGTGTTACACTGAAGGTTTGTGTGTGCGTGTGTGTGTGTGTGTGGGTGTTTGTATTTAGTTATTATTAAGCATGTAAATATAAATGGCTTTTAGACTTTGTCACATTAAAATGAAGTGGAACACTTTCTTAATTTTAGTATATGCCATCATTTGAAATTTAGAATGTCCTGTGGTTCAAAGCTGTAAAAAGAAACCAATTTCTAAGGAAAAATATCAGTAAACACTTTGTAATCATTTTATACATTTGTAGACAACAGTGGAATTTTAGGAACCCAAAACTGGGAATGACTTGGGAGAAAAGTGCTATAGTATAAAATTATGAAGTTAGATTAAACATGTGGGTTCAGCGTTACATTTATATTTATACTTATTTTAATGTTGAGGTTGGAATTTATTTTCTTTATTATTTTAATTGCATATTGTAACACTAAACCGGTTAATTGGGTTTGAAGGAAATACAGGATAAAGAAAAACATCAGAATTTAAAAATTTTAAACCTATTTTTTCCTCATTTATTGGTGCTATCTTAATGCATTTATGTCCCATTTTCTCAAATATTTGTTATGCATGAAGTTGTATACAGATAACATAGTATATTCATACATCTATTTCTTTTGTTACAGTTAATCAGGCAGCAAAGGAAGACACCATGGTTTTGAAGATTGGCTCTGTTACCATGGCTCCCCAGGCTGACAATCCCCTTGGCAGATCTGTTCTCAGGAAAGATATTTACCAGTGAGTTTAATTTCTCGTGTTCAATATTACAATAATTTATTCTTGCAGAGAAGTACAATGATCAATAAAACTTGGTTTGTGTGGCCTGTATAAATGCTTCCCATTCGAGAGCTTTTGATATTTAAAACCAGGTTTTTCTGATTTTCTTCAGTTGTGGGTTTTTAAATTCATTCAGACAAATCAAGTATTTCTGTGAAGTGTTGATGAATAACAGAATGTAAGTACCATAAAATTGAAGAAGCATAGTTTGGAAAATTTTAGTAGACTTCAAATTTGACCATTCTCTAATCACATAAGAAAATGAGGTCTTCTCTAGAACCACTGTATCCTACTGTAGTCATGTTGTATCAAAGTGAAGCATTTTCTTAATTTAAGTATATCCATCTATTTGAAATGTAGGACTATGGATGTCATATGGATCAAAGATGTAAAGAAAAGCAAACTTCTAAGGAGAAATTTCACAGTAAACACTTTCTATGAAAATGCTGTGCTCTGGATTTTGTCACTGAGTATTTGCAAACCACACCAAGCTTATATGAACAACTAAACTGGTGAACATATGTAATCAACATGATAAAAATAATATATGATTCATACTAAAGTTGGCACTGCTGCCAGACATGAAAGTCCAATTGCAAATAATACCAAGTGAGAAAAGTCACAGAAATACAGATGAACAAGTGTCTTGTTCTTCCTGCTGATCTGTTTTTCAGATGTTCTAGCCTTACTCTTAAAAAATCCTCCTGTTTTCTAGTATAGGTTATTGCTAGGAAAAGATTCTAAGTTTGTTAATACATTTACCACCTAAAAAGTGATGTTTATTTTTACTCTACGTGGATCTAAGAGTTGTATTTTCAAAATGTTTTTGATATTTGAGTTGATAATTTTTCCTTTGTCATACATGGCATGATTTCTTCCCTGTGTTAATTTTTTAATGTGGTTTATAATATTGATCTCTTAAATGAGTTTTTTAATTTAGCAAAGTTCATGTAAAATCTTAGGATGTCAGAGCTGAAAGAAGCCTCAGGAATTACCTAACCCATCTTCCTTAGTACTTTATAAATTAAAAAACCATGTATCCAAAGGAAAAATTATCTCTAGTTAAATAGCAATAAAGCAAAAGTTTCAACTCTTGAGTCCTTTAGAATCCAGGGAAAGAATTACAGTAAAATAGAAATTCTGTGTGAAAATTCTGTGATTTTTCTAACCACTAGAAATTCTTCTATGTGTATTTATTTACCTTTCATAATTCATGCTAAGCAGTCCTCAAATGGATCTGAGGTAACTTGGTGAAAGAAATCTATTTTATGTTAAAAGACCACTATTACTATCTGCAAATTAATTTAAAAATATCTGAAAATATGTGCAATTCGTGTATCTGGTAAGAGATTGATAACTAGAATGTCAGTTTTGAAACTCACTGCTAAAAACAGAATCCAATTTAAACATGGATTTAAATAGATCTATTTCAGAAATTAAAAAATGACTAAGTAAAACCAGGTGTGGTGGCTCATGCCTATCCTCCCAGCCTCCCAGCACTCAAGAAACTGAGGCAGCACGATCATTGGGACTTCAAGACTAGCCTGGGCTACTAAGCAAGCCCAAGACCAGCCAGAACTATAGAGTGAGACCCTGCTCAAAAGACACCCCCCCCCCCGCCAAAAAAACAAATGTTCAGCACTGTTGTCATTGAAGAATTCAAAGCCAAAATCAGCACACTAGGATGACTTAGTAAAAGAAATAGATGTAGATAAATTGAAACTACAGAAGTTACAGGAAAAATCCAACATGGTTTTTTTCCTGTCTTCACAGATCCTATACAATATTCACTCCAACTCTCTTAACAGCAGATGGGAAAAACAATTTCCGCACACCACGTAATTCATCAGCAAATACCAACAGCATGTCCTATGATTTTATTTAATTGATTTCAGACAGTATCTGACTAGAGATAACATCAGATCCCATAGGTTAGAGCTAACCCCACAAAACTACCACTTCCCCATCAAGTTCTAATCAAGGTACAGGTTATGCTTCTGAACTTCTAGATAAATCAGATTCTTATGACCCCTTTCCTCAGGTTCAACTAATTTGTTAGAGCAGCTCATAGAACTCAGAGAAATAGTTTGCTTACCTCTGTTCTTTTATAATAATATTATAAAGGATTCAGATAACAGCCAGATATCTAGGTCTAGGCATGTGGAAAAGGATTCTATCTGTGCACACCACCCTCTAAATATAATATAGCACCATGTGTTTGGCAATCCAGAAGCTTATCCACATGCTGTCCTTTTGGATTTTTATGGAGGTTTCCATATCACAGACATGACTGATTCATCATTGGCCACTGGTGATCATTTCAACTTTCAGTCCTTCTCTCTTTCTTAGAGGTTGAGGAATAAGACTGAAAATTTTAACTCTTTGATTATTGCCTTGGGCTTTCCTGTGGCCAGCTGGATCCAGTTGCTTGTTATCTCGTTAGCGTTCGAAAGGTACTCTTACTTCTTTGGCGATTCCAAGAGTTTTAGGAGCTCTGTGTCAGGAAATGGGGATAAATACCAAGTATATATTTCATAATATTACAGGCACCTTCATATCTTATGGGAGAATGCGGCAGCTGTGGAGTGTGCAGCTGCTGTGGAAAAAAGGTTGGTAGTTTCTGTATCCTGGGGCCATTCCTTGGATATAGTACATATATATCCAAGAGGATTGAAAGCATATGCACACAAAAGTACTGACAGGACTACTTATAACAGCCAAAACATGGAAACAACCTAAAGGTCCAGGGTTTATGAATGGATAAACAATATATGGTATATTAATATGATTGAATATTGTTTTATTGATAGGAATAAAGTAACAATAATGCAATACAGTGGCTTAACCTTGAGATCCTTATGCAAAGTAAAGTCATACTCAAGAGTCTACTTATTATATAGTTCCATGTAGATAAAAGTTCCTAAAGAGACAAATCCATAGAGACCGAAAATAGAATAATGTTTGCTAGGAACTTGTGTGGGGAGGACAATGAGTACTAATGTTATGGAATTTCTGTTGGGATGAAGAAAATTGTTCTGTAATTAGATAGTGTTAATATAAGATGAGAATCACAATATGTGCTATATAGCAAGCACAATGACAATAAGAACTTCTAAAAAGATTTTATGGGGTGCCAGTGGTGTCTCAATAAAATTTATTTTAGAAAAAATATCAGAATGTGACATCACTAAGAGATCGAATTAATTCCAGAGAGACAAATTCTCTTCCTAGATTAATAAAGGCTGCATTCTTTTCAGTTTAGGTAGTATTTGTCTTACTGGATATAAGCAGACCAATTTTGTTGTGGGAAGGGACATTTATCAGTCATGGAGACTAGATGGAAAAATTGGAATCTTAGAGGAACCCCAAACACCCAGCCAGTCCTTCACAGTACTTTTTCTGAGAGAGTGTGCTGGCATAAAGAAATTGAGTTTCTCAAAGTTTCATGTTTCTTGAAAGACAAAGACACATTAGAGATATACTGTCTAAAACAATAGCTATTAACCACATGTGGCTAATTATGCTTAACATGTGCCTTTTACACAAGATATTTTTGTAAGTATAACATACATCCAGATTTTCAAAGCATAAAACAAAGTATAATACCTCATTAATATTCTGTACATCAGCCATATGTTTCATATGTATTTGTAGACTTAGTGACTTACATATAGTTGTACTACTATTTTCCTTTTTTAGAAAACCTTTTTACATGTGACTACTCACAAAGCTTTATATAGCTAGTGTACAATTATAATATGTTTCATATTTGCATATACTATCAATACACCACAGGGAGAGACCTACACAGACACAAGGTAGATCTCCTCCTGAGACATTTGAAACCAAATCTAAATTGAGTACAACTGTAGTTGTGAACCAAGGCACACCAGCTCAGTTCCTCATTATATTTAGGGGGTCCATTCTTTATCTAATCTACCTAACAGGAAAAGATACTGCCTCTATGGGAGGGAAGTGTTGAGTTTAGTACCCTTAAGTTATTTTTATACATGGTGTTTAGATATATGATCAAAAATTATAAGAAAACAAGTGAGAAAATTAACCCATCAGGGGACATATTAATTAAAAGAGAAATACTGCCATATAACTGAGATACTGGAATTGCTGTATTAGGAGTTAAAAATTGTTTTTAAATTTGAAGACAACTGTTAAAAATTAAGGCTTTCAGAGAGTGCAACTTTTTTTATCCTGAAGCTAGAGGAATTATCTGAAATTAAAGACTTGCTGAAGAGCCTTAGTATATACAGATGGGCACAGCAGAAGGTAAGATTAATCAGTTTGGAAATAGTAGAATAGAAATTACTAGACTGAAGCACAGAGAGGAAGAAAAGGGAAAAAAGGAAAGAAATAAGATAGGAGAACAAACTGAAAATTAGGGTCAGGAACTGTCAATATATCTAGCAAATATAGATTACAAGAAATAGCACTAAAGAAACAGATTAACCCGAGGCTTTGCAAAATAAGTTATCAGACAGAAATTCAAAAAATCCACTACGTTATCTCCAACCCTAGCAAAACAATGTAAAATACATATAGCCAGGCCTTATAGAGTCATATTGCTGAAAGTCAGTGAGAGACTGCTCCATGAAGAGATTAGGGCTAGCAAATAAGAGAGGATATTACCATATCTGTTCAAAAGAAGATTAAAAGCTTATTAACTTTGAAGGTACAATTAAGACTGACATAACTGAAAGTGTCAAATTCGATGAAGAAAAATTAACTGATATGACACCATTCCTCAAATGCTTTGGCATGTCATGTATCATAGGAAGTAGTTTCATTTCTTCTAAAGCTAAGAAGAGACCTGGGATCATTAAATCCTTAGATGTCATAGTGACACTAATTGCAACTCAAGGAATGGAAATCTTTCAAATTCTAAAAATCTATTCATTATTTATTTCACTTGACAATTATTTATTGGGAATCTGCTGTCCATCACT